CGGGCTTCTTGCTCATTGGGAAGCCTGCTTCTCCCTCTCCCACTCCCCCTGCTTGTGTTCCCTCTCTCACTGTGTCTCTCTGTCAAACAAATAAATACTTTAAAAAAAAAATCTCTCTCTCTCTCTGCCCCTCACCCCCATCTTCCTCCCAAAGAAATAAATGGTCTTTATCTTATAGAGACACACAAAAAAGGTTTTTTTTTTTAATTACCCAGCTCATATTTCTTGCAAACCTTGCTCTTGCTTGTGCATGATTTTTGCACCTTGTAAGTAAGTAGTCATTGCTTAAGTAAAACAATTACACAGATAAGTAAAAACTGTAAGTGCCTCGGGCACACCCAATATCTCTGATATTTCAATAAGTACCTGACCGCTGATTCCTAAAGCCGCACCCTCCCTCCCACGGCTGCATCTCTGTGATATATCCAGAAGGGGTGACTCCCCCCTCCCCAGGCACCCGCAGAGCGCTGTTGGAGTGCTCAGAAAGACCCAATCAGACTCAAACCTCCCAGGCCCCCACCAGGCACCCGCCTCCCACCAGTGTCATCACCCTCACGGAGGATGGGTCCACACCCTCCTTTCCTGCCCCACTCCTGGCCTCAGCAGCCAAGCCCTGATCCGGACCAGTCCACTACTTGAGAGCAGGTAGGGAAGAGGGGCCGCACCACGCTGTGGGGAGACCCACTGCAGCCACACCGGCAGAGGACATCCCCATCCCCCCGGCGCCCAGCCCCATCCTGGACCCCAGCGCCTCAGCCCGCCCTCTGAGGCCTGGTTTCAGGCCCTGCCTCCCCCATCACAGGGCTGCGCCAGCCAGGCAGCACCCAGGGCTGGGTGTGGAATCAGACCTGGCTGGACCCAGCACTTCCTCTGTGACATCTTGGGCACATTCCTCACCATCCTGGCCCGTTTCTCCTTATGACAAATGGAAAACATAACCGAATGTCCCTTAGGACTAACTGGGACACGCTGCAAAGCGCCCACCCCGGGACAGCACTCAGCAGTCACCGGACCCTTTCTCTTGTCGGCCTGGGCTCCTGGGGCAGCAGGGAGCTGCTGAGAGGCCTTGCCAAGCTACAGCCCACGGGGCTCCCCGCCGTGGGGCAATTTCCGTGACCCTCAGCTCCTGGGCGCCACACACACACACACACACACTCCCGAACCCCGGCTTCTGTTCATCAGTGCTGGAGAAGCCCAGACTGTGGAAGCATCCAGGCTGGCTCCAGCCTGGCCACCCAGACCACATACTCACGCTCATTCTGCCAGAAAGACCAGCCTGTGGTTGGGAAGAACGGCCATTATGGTTTCCAGAAAATTCCTCCAAGCAGGGAGAAGCTGTTTGCCATTCCTGAGGCCTCTCCAGTCAGTCTAAATGCGGTTTTCCAATTAAGCTGGGACTGCTCCCAGATCTCTGCTTTAAACAACCACCTCTCCGCTTTCCCTCTAAAGAAACAAAACCCTTGAGACACGCACACCCCTCCCTTTTATTTTGTTTTAAACGACCTCTGGGTGTTTTTTCCTGCTTACCCAGGTGGTGCGTGTTGTATAACCCAGGAGCACTGGCGGGAGGGCACCTGGGGGGTCAGAAGTCCAGCGCCATGGATGGGGTGGGTCTGCTCACCAACGTGGGGACTGCACAAGGAGAAGCGAGCCTGGGGAAAGAAGGCAAGTCCTCCTCTGGGCAGGACAAGCAAGATTGCACTTGGGGATTCTTAATTCTGCCTCCGGTCAGGAACGTGGGGAGAAGGTTAAAGACCCCGGGCTGGCTCTCAGGTCCTCAGCCCCAATGAGGTATTGGCATCAGGGGATGGACGTGACCTCTAGGTCATGCGGAGGGCCGAGAGAAGAAAGAGCCAAGGACAAAGCAAGGGGGAGGGGGCCGATGAAGAGAAATGGTCAGAGGCCTGGAAGGGAATGGACAGGAGGAGAGAGGCACGCCATGGGCCAGCCACGTCCCGTGGCCAGAGGCCATTTAGATGGTCTACCAAGGTCTACCGGACCTGCTACCCATGATGTCACTGACCACCGGGATGCACTGAGCCAGTTCTGAGTCTAGTCTTTAAGAAGACAGGCCTCTAAAAAAAAAGGAAGAAGAAGAAGACAGGCC